GCACTATTTAATCAATGAAATATATATGCATTCATTTCTTATTGGAAAATTTGACTTAGAATTTATAGAAAATTAATTTCTAATTACCTCCCTTTATTTACATGAAATGTTAAATTGGGTAGTATCTTTATAAATAATGCTTGTTGGAACTTACAATATTGACAAATATTAATTTGAGCATCATATTTATAAAAAAAAACATGAAAAAATGTGTTACAGGATCTTTAAATGACACACGTCAATAGGGTGGTTGCTATTTTAGTTTAGTAGCGTACGCACTAGTGAGCGTACGTCCAGATCCTATGTATGGGCTTTAATAACGGAAATTCAACGTTTTCTAAACATACTGACTTATTTAAGTAATTGAAAGAAGTATCGGTTATCAATCAGTACATGTCAAAATAGATTTTCCCTGTATGATTGAGATCTGAACATATAAGCAACAAAAATATCCATAAAATTGTTACTTAATTCTATAAAGTGTATGATAAAAATATACCGTGTGAGTTAATTGACCACCAAAATTCACTGAGGGCACGAGTTTCGACAAGGCTGTAATTAAGTATGTCCTGACTTTTGTGGAAATATTCGTGTTTATCATAGAAAAGTCTGTAATCATGAATTTATAGACCGTAATTTACTAAAACATTCACATCTTTTCAGAAATATTTAAATGCATGTAGAGCTTATTAGTGTACATGTATACTTGCACGTGGGATCAGTTCGCAGACGAATTTTAACTTTGAAATTCCATTTGACGCAGGTAATGTACTATATAACTCGCTACTAACAGGAAACGCTACTAACAGGAAACTACATACATGTCTTTAAAAAATCGACTCAGATTCTGTTGAGGGTTTTGGTTCAATGTTGGACGACTTTACCAACATAGCTTTTATATTTGCGCGCGAAATAAGCATGCACTTGTCGATTTCGAGTAAAGCTGCTAATTAGAAATGAACAAAGAGGGTTATTTATAAGGTGATATCAAGCTTTTACAAACCAAAAACAAATTTGTTTAATACGATTCTGTTTTACTGTAAAATATCACTAAATTTCTTACAACAAACCAATGTATCTATCTTCTATGTACTCCTGCTGGGGACATAGACTTAGCGCTTCACCAGTATAAGAAGTATAAAAACAAAGGTTTAAAAGTGAGATAAAAGTTTAAAATAGGTAAAAGCAAGGCAGGTGTGTATTTAGAGTGAGACATGCTCAATCTGGCTAACAGGCTATTGAACATGGACCTAGACAAGGTGACAACATCTGGGGCAAGGCATTCCAATGACAAAATAGTCATAGGGATGAATGAGTATTTGTATAATAGTCAACAGATGTCTGAATTTGTTTGAAAGTAGGTAATGTGAATTTGAGTTGGTATTGTTACTGGTTTGAGGCAGTCTAGAGGAGGAATGGCAACCTTATATTGCAGGATGTTTTGAACTTTAAGAAGGCACTTATCTCTAGGCTCCTCCGCTCTATCTAGAGAATCAAGTATAGCTGAGACACAGCCGTGATGGTGACCAGGCACTGGAACTGTAGCCTACTCGAGCTGTGGTCGAATTTAAGTGTCAAGCTGTACTTTTAAATGGTAGCAATTTGTGCATTTTTTTTTTTTTTAACTTCGACATGTTTCCCAAAAACTTAAGTGTATTAATACAAAGTTTATTTACATTTGCACTGACAATTGCATTCCCTCTGCTTGGGTGCCTTCATGATTAACTGTTAGAAAAAAATATCCTTATATCGCAGTACTGTTACACATTGAAAGTTATTTGATTTGATACAAGGATAATTCCAGACTATATTTATAATTCATTATTTGGTAATAGCTAGTGTCTTTCAAATATGGTCTCGGCCCGAGGAATTTTCGTGTTTTTTTTTTTTGTTCTATAGTAACCCAGTCACATTTGAGGCTTAATTCTGGATTCCACTGTTCTTGATGAATTATATACTGTCTTCAACTTTAAACATTAACACTATCTAAGTCCAATGAGGCCCAAAATACAATAGGTTAACCATCTACTTTTTTTCAGAAATCATCATTCTGTTGTAACACTGTTTAAATTCACCACTTTAAAAACTCCTGCATGACTGCTGTTGTGTAGTACATCTTTAATCCTTCCGCCAACAAATGAGTTCCTGGAAATTACCAATCTCCTACGCAGTGATCTCCCCTTACAGCAGGATTAGATTACAATTCTGCCAAGGGAGGTAATCAGTGTGAGGAGTTTGGGAAATTACTGTACACAAAGTCATCATAAAACACACAAAAACTACACACATGCAATAAATACACTTTAATTATGACCAATCTAACTAGAGAGGACTTAAATTGGGCCACTTAAAAATTTTAAAGAAGGAGACGGCCCACTGATTTTTCGTAATATACATCCGATAGTAAATCCATCACATTTAAGGCTAAATTCTGGACAAAGCAAATCCGGTACCGAAACTTCGTGACTATTTCTTTAAACACCAATGCAGTCCAAGCAAATTTAGCACAAATAAATAATACATTAGCCCTTGGAGTTTTTCTGCAGCTTTTAATTTCTGTAATCACTATAGAATATTCCAAATAGTAACTGGTGTGTATTCTTGTGCATAGTACTTCCTGAAACCTTCCACTCATAAATGAAATCCTGCAAAAATACATCAAAAACAACCTTTAAAGTACTCAGAAATGATACTTTATGTACACAATTACTAAACATATACTTAAAATATAACCAGTATCAATTAAGATGACTTGAAATAGGCCATTTCAAAATTTAAAAGAACTACTTTCTAGACCATATCATGTATACGGTATAAGACGGAAATTTACGGAATTTAGCTATAATATCATTTATGGACTTGTTTAACCTAACACTCTTTGTTGACATTCGAGATCCGGTTGATCGTGAAACGATAATTAAAATGACTTTTTCGAAGCTGCTTCTATAAATATCAACTCTTGAGAAATAATGGATTGGGAAAAGAAATTTACGTCAATCATTAACGAATCAAAGGCGAATTTATCGAAAGTTAGGGTAAGAATATGTAAATTAAAGTGAATATTTTCATAATTTGACATGACCACAGACTCACTCCGCAGACAGTGAGACACATGGGTCAAACCCTATCCACTGCTTGAATCGCCCCTTTACTTTAGACTTGACGATAAATGAAATTTTTCATTTAATGGGAATGGTTCAAACACAAGTTATCGTGGACAAACCAGTTCTCAAACCTCTAACTGTATAAGCATTCAAGAGGGCTTTTTGTATAAATAAGAATTTATCTTTATTTGGTTTAAATATATTTATTTAAGCTCGATTGCGAAACGAGTTCTTGCAACTTATATTAATCACTTTCGAGTTGGCTTAATCACTTTCGAGTCGGCTTCCTGGAACCAACCAGTACTGGTGTCATATTAAGAAACATGGTCGTAACCCGAGTAGGGCTCGAAGATAGTCAAAATATATTGACGTGCCAAAGCTTGATTCTGAGATATTTTCATTCTGGGGCAGAATCTCGCTTTTAGGTAGAGGCGATATATTGCCCAGACATGAAAATAACACAATATATCGTCACGTAGTACAATTAGTTGGACGTACTAGACTCGAACCCATGATCTCTGCCCAGGTTGAGACTGAGAGGCAGAAAATTCTTTACATATGTACATTTTAATATTTATGTACTATTTTTTGTAAAATTTGACTGAAATTCAACAATTAAAAAAGCTCTATTTCCATCTTGGAAAAGCACTTGTAACCCTCTTTTGTAAAACTGACATGGCCTCTTAAAAAGATAGTCCAACTAATTGTACTGCACGACGATATATTGTGCTATTTTCGTGTCTGGGCAACATCTCGCCTCTACCTAAAAGCGAGATTCTGACCCAGCACGAAAATATCTCAGAATCAAGCTTTGGCACGTCAATATATTTTAACTATTTAAAAGAAAGAACCTAATCTCAAACCCCTTCAAATATCTCTGAAATTCTACTGTTTAGTTTAGCCAATGAAGTGATTGTCATATGAATATCATGTGACAATAATGTACCGTACAGGATGCAGGTACCTGCTTTAAGATATTTTTGTCTCTAATAATCATTTTTACAAATAGTTATTAATAAATGGTGTATCTACAGGACTTACAAAGGTAATAGAAATTTGTATGAAATTATGCTAAATAATAAGATTTTTATGTAAATATTCCTTACTATGCACTGTTTTAATTTAACAGCAGCAGAAATGTCTGTCAGAATCTAAGCTTTAATGCACACAAGTTTAGGACATCATAGTCACTTCTAGTAAATAAATAACACTAACAACTCATGAATGAAAGATTTGAGAATACTGAATAGGTTGGGTGTGAGATTAGTTACTTATAAAACTTATAAAACAAGGATAGGTTCTGAACCTTAAGTGTCTGTGGACAGGACTGATTTACATATGTTATGTCCAGGGTATAGATATTATAAGAAACACATTTGATTGTAAATACATGTACGTTTATTTAGAAAGCCATGTTATATCTTGACCGGAAGTTCAGTACTGTCTTACCCATCATGCAATATAGTTATAAATAGCAGACTACAGTAATGAAGGATATTACATCCCTCCTCTTCTTGGATTGAAACATCATCTTATATAAATTTATTATTGTAAATATTATTAAATCAATATTTTTTTTAATTAATGATTTTTTTTTAGTTCTAAATACAATACATATTCAAATAACCAAAATCATAAACAATTTAACATGTACATTGTATATAATGTTTCTACAGATGGAACACAAATTCAGCATCTAACTTACTATTCTAACTGTAATTGTCCAAGTTTGTTTATATCAGCATTCCTTATTCCACGTGGTCTGTTAATATGAAAAAGGCAAAGCCTCAAAGCGAGCTCGATGTACTTTTAACGTGAAATAGTATGAAATAATCGCTCATTTTTAATTTAAATGCAGTGACGAGTGCGTGTGACGTTACACGTACTGTGTTAAATATGGCTCTGCCCCTGTCGTTAAATGAATAACGAGTTTTGAAAACGTTGATAATACTTTGTTTGTTTATTTTTATTTCACTCTATATTTTTTTCAAGCGAAAAAAAAGATTATTAAAAGTGAAATAAAATGTAAAACTTAAAACGTTTTGCGACATTAAAAATAGCGTACTTGATTTGATTGTTTTGCACGTGCTGTTTGGTGCTATATTTGTGACGTCACGTTTAAAACAATACTTTAAACGTCTGTACAGCTTTGACGAGTGGATAAAAGATATTGGTGTTCGGATTCATTTTCTTAGTTAGACCATTTTCTTTGATTCTATATAGTTTTCACAACAAAATTCGACAAAAAAAGTTTTTATTTATCAGATTTTTAAACAAAATGGCGCCTTCAATTTTCATTTTACATTTTCCGTTTTAAAACTGTCATTCGTTATTTTATACACAGCTTCCGTTATTCTGGTTCCCTGTCCAATTATGGTTCCCATAGACGTGCGCGGGTGACCAGTCTACACATCCGTTTTCAGTCAGAATTCCTCAGTTTTTATCGTTATCTTTAAATTCGAAAAGTTGCGATGTGTCCATTTCGGTACTTAAGACGAAAGTTTTCAAAACCATCACTTAGCAGGTACTCGCGTTACCGTAAAGCTCGCTTTGCGAGCAGGCCCTTCGGGCCAGCTCGTCGAGCTCGCTATAAAGCAATTAATCATGAGGAAAACTGGGAACTGTTCGAATTCCAACCGTTTGTAGGTCAGTTTTACTACAGCTTTATTATCAATGAAAAAAATTAGTCAATGAAACTTTTCTACTACATGAGCAATATCAGACATATTACACTTTACAAACATGGATAATTTCCTTGTCTCTCCAACATCATAATTAATTAGACACATTAGTTATATTTTTTTTATTTGATATCCTTGAGTTTGATAATATTTAAATGATATAAGAGCATTAAATAATATAAACCCTATAATAAACTCCAGAGGGGATATTCCAGTATGCTCCACTATATGTGTGTATTGTCAAACATTCATTCATTATATAATTTGCTATTTGGGTATTACTTAATTAATTATTCATGTTCTCGATTATAATAATTACTTTCATAATTCTAAATTTAATCAAACACATATATATCCATGATGTACAATCGAATAAAACACATACGATTGGCATTATTATGGCCAATTCACTTTCTTTTAAAAATACAGCTCTGTTTAGCGCGGTACATAATCTTTTAAGTATGGTGGAGGACGTCTGTCACGTGTTGGCCTTGTCCTCGCCAAACCCGATTGCGGACTCGCATGTGAATTCTGTTCATTTCCTATTATCTCCCGTTCATCGAGATCGTTTTCAGATGTTTCCGGTTCCTTACCGACAATTCCAGGATCAACAGTTTTCATAACTGACGAATTTCGAGTCATGCAATGACCAGCATCGTTCCTAACACTTATCATTGTCCCTTTTCTGTCAATAACCGTATATGGCGTAGGTTTGTATATTGAATCAGATTTTGTTTCTGGCTTCATTTCTTACTAACAACCCGATCCCCTACGTTAATTGATTTGTCCCTTGCATGTATCCGTTCGTCTTCATATCGTTTTGCTTTCATTTTCGAAAAATCGTCGTTCTGTTGCACTATTTCTCTCGTTTGAAGGTTTCCACTTTTACCATGACCGATGTTTTGGCATTCGAGTCGTCGGATCTCTACCAAACATTAACTTGAATGGCGTATAACCAGTTGATACGTGTGGTGTGGCTCGGTTGTTTGTCTTAAGAAATCATACAGTCCTTGTTCGTAGTTTCGCGCCTCGATAAATGAAGATTTTACACTCTTCATCAGTGGTTTATTGAAGGATTCTGCTTGGGCATTTGCTCTTGGCCATCTCGGTGTGATTTTCCGATGAATTATGCCGTAAAATTTCATGAAGTCAACAAATGCTTTACTTTGAAATGGAGACCCATTGTCGGTTTTTATCACTTTCGGTATAGCAAACATTGATACAATCTTGTCGAACACCGGTATAACTGTGTTTGCTGAAATATTTTTTATTATTTCAACTATCGGATATCTCGAATACTCGTCTATTACCACAAGTAAATAGTCCCCGTTTTCTAACGGACCACAAAAGTCAGCGCTTATATTGAGCCAAGGTCCGACGGCAATTCACTCATTCTCAAAGGTTCACACGGTCTTTGTTCATTTGAATTTGATTGACATGCTAAACACTTTTGAATTGCAGCTTCGATTTCAGAATTCATGTTTGGAAAATATACTTTCGATCTTATGTAACTTTTAGTTTTCAAAATTTCCTTGGTGACCTTCATGTCCTAGTTTTATTGCTTTTTCACGGGAGTGATTTTGGAAATCACTAGTTTATCATTTTTCATCAATAATGTTTCATTATACACAGTAAATTCGTCCTTTATACTACGAAAAGATGATAATTCTTCTTTGTCTATTTCTGGGTCATTCAGTGTTTTCAATTCATACCATTTACCATTCTTTGTAAATTCGACTGCCTTTTGCATTGTCTTATCTTTCAATGATTCCATTTTTACCTCATCTATTGTCATTGCATTTGGTAGTGATTGTTCTGCGACAAATGACACGTATTCCTCTGCTATATTTCGTTCCTCCTTATGTTTTAATGGATGACGGGACATAAAGTCTGAGGGATTATCTTTCCCTGACCTATACTCTATTTTCATTTTGAACGGTTGAAGTCACAATCCCCAACGTTTGATTCTTAGTGGTGGTTGTTTCTTTTCCAAAATTTTGTTAACGGCATGCAATCTGTAATGCATGTGAATGTTGGTGCTCCCTTTAGATACATCGCAAAATGTTCGCATGACCATACCAAAGCCAGTGCTTCTCGTTCTGTCTGACTGTACCTCGTTTAAACTTGTGTTAAAGATCGATATGCATAAGCCACCACCTTGCCTTCTTGTGTGAGTATTCCCGAGACTCCCACAGGTGATCCATCTGTTATTACTTCAATGTCTTTGCTCGAATTGAAGTATGCCATGACAGTTTCACTGCTCAGTTCACTTTTTAATTTCTCGAATGCTGCTTGTTGCTCACTGCCCCATTCCCATTGAGTGTCATTTCTTGTAAGACGTCGTAACGGTTCAGAGATTGTTGCGTAGTTTCGTATAAACCGTGACGAATATGACGTCATTCCCAGAAAACTTCTCATTTCCGTCACATTTGTAGGCTCCAGCATTTGTTTGACTGCCTCTACCTTCTGAGGTGAAGGTGACATTCCATTTTTCCCGAATACTACTCCAAAAAAAGTGATTTCTTTTTTATTGAACTCACATTTAGATCTGTTTAATGTCATGCCACTTTCGTGTATAGCCCGGAAAACTTTATCTAATGCTTTATCGTGATCACTTTGATTTTTCGCGTATACAATAATATCATCCGAAATGTTTTTAGATCCCTCTATACCCTGTATTACTTCACTTATGGTCTTTTGAAAAACCTCACTAGCAGAATTTGTCCCAAAATTCAAACGTTTATACCGATAAAGCCCAATGTGTGTAGCAAATGTTGTGATATACCGTGATTCTTCTTGTAAGACAAGCTGATTGTACCCGGCTTTGAGGTCAAGCTTACTGAATATTTTTGCTCCATTCATATCATGAATTAGTTCATCTATCGTCGGCATTTGATGTCTTTCCCTTTCTATGGCTTTATTGGCCTCTCTCATATCAACACAGAGTCTTACATCGCCATTTTGTTTTGGAGGTGTGACAGTTGGTGAAACCCAAGGTGTAGGTTCATTTATAACTTCTTCAATAATATCATTTTCTAACAAGGTTTTAATTTCTTTTTCTACTTTTCCTCTTAAATGAAATGGTGTTCTTCTATTTCTTTGTGCTATAGGTTTCACATTTGGATTGATGTGCAATTTCACGGTTTTGTGTTTTAGTTTTCCAATACCTTTATAAATTCCAGGGTATTTATCCTCAATCTTTGTTTTCAAGGAGATGTTCTGTGTAATCTTCACTAATTCCATTTCACATGATGTATCATAGCCGATCAAAACTCCATAATTTCCTTTCACCAGATAAAATTTTGCTATGGTTATTTTCTCATTCTTTTCAACAGATAAATTCATGTACCCTTTTACTGGAAGCGGATTGCCTCCTCCGTAAGGCAAAAGTTTTGGTAAATATTTTCGTTGAATTTTAGGTTTTTCCAATGTAATTATAAGTCCTTTCATCTATAATGTTAACACTCGAACCTGTGTCAATCGTTGCTGTTATTTTTTTTTCATTCACTGTTACTTTTGTTTGAGGCATTTTCCTTTTGTTTTCCTTTGCGACACTTTTAACTGTTATGTTATAGAGGAATTCTTCCTCTGAATTGGACTGTAAATCCTCTTCACGGCTTACTTCGTTTACTTTGCCTCGTTTTGATTTCTGACAACACCGCGCAAAATGGCCAACTGTTGAGCACATGTTGCAGGTTTTCCCTTTCGCTGGACAAGGGGTACCTCTGTGGGGAAATTTCATATCCACAATTCCTGCATTTATTGGTTGGCAACGCGCGCCGATAATTCCCGCGCTGATACGATTGACCAGTCTCCCGAAAATTCCCACGGTTCTGCGAGTTAAATCCACGTCGTGCAGCCGTTCTCCCACGTGTTGTTCCACCTCGCCCTCTTCGTGTGTAATTTGATACTTTCCTTACTAAGTTTTTGGTCATTTTTCTCCATTACTTTGGCGTGTTGGTCACTTTGTTCAAGCATCCTACCCATAGTTAAAATAGCATCCAGTTTTTTGTCAGGTTCACGTAATGCCCTACGACGTAACTGGTTAGATTTCCCGTGTTGTATAACTTGCTGCAATATTTCGCCATCAATATCTGTAAACCCCCAGGTTTTGCAAGTGTGGTTTAATTTCCCTCACCCTATTCGTCAAGGGGGTTGTTCTTTTTGACTGTTTATATGTTCGAAAAATTTGGGATATCTCCCATGGTGTTTTTCTGTGGCGAAAAAAAAGGGCCCCAAGCAAATTTTTTGTTGGGGTCATAATTTTTTCTTCCGTTTCTTTCTTCTCAAAGTCATAAATATCAATTTAAAACCCTTTTACCGGCCCTAGTTTTTAATAAAAAAAAGCTCTTTTTTGGGCATCATCTCCCCTAAAAATTCCCTTGGGAAAAAATTCTCCAAACGCCAAAACCCCTTTTTCCCAAAACCGTGCTCCTGAAATTGTTTTGTCCGTCTCCAGATCGAAAATTTTGGGAAAATGTGGCAATTGTTCATTATTTTACTTAGTTTACTTCGTTATCCATCCTTAAAATAGTAAAATTTTTATATCCAGATAATTCCTAAACAGTTAATCACATATCTTGATATCCTCGTCTCCAGATGTTATGTCCAGGGTATAGATATTATAAGAAACACATTTGATTGTAACTACGTTTATTTAGAAAGCCATGTTATATCTTGACGGGAAGTTCAGTACTGTATTACCCATCATGCAATATAGTTATAAATAGCAGACTACAGTAATGAAGGATATTACAACATATATCTATCTTCCTTTCCTTTTTAAGGCAACTTATGTCTTTGATTTTGAGCGCGTAGTGTCATACTTGTTTTGGCATCAAATAAGCAGGCATGTTTGCAGTAATCTAGTGGTAAAAAACTCTTTCCTACAAAGCTAGATGCCTCAAGTTAGAGACCCTGCTTCTCCAACTAAAATTACTAGAATTCACAAAAGAGAAATCTCTTACTTTTGAATTTTCAGAACAAGTATGATGCAAATGGATCGAAAAATGTTACATGGGCCCCAAAATATTGTGAGTATAAACTTAGTAGCTTTCTTCACTAAATCATTTTTGTAAAATTAATAGTCAGTCAATAAACAGATATGCTTTGTTTTTGATATCAGCATGTATGATTGTACTGACACAAATAATCATTGATTGATGTCATAGTGTTTTTATGCATAAAATTTTTTAATAATTGTTAATCATTTTTCACAAGTTTGTTACTTCTGATTTTACCTTTACAATAGATTCAACTCCAATGAAAAGAAGTACTTCCCTATTAGAGATACCAAGTGGTTCACCTTCAGTCTACAACCAGAGTTTTCCTACTGAACTCTTCACTGGAACAGCAACAACCAGTACTGTCATGCCATACCCTTCTACAACCACCCTTCTTGATAAAATAGAACAACAAAATAATGTAAGTTTGAACATAAGGGCAATCATAATGTTAGTTACTTTTAATAGACATAATCAGAGACATAGATAACATCTCTGACATAATATAGCAATAAGCATCAGACAATCAAGCAGTTTATTTACTATCTCTTTGCCGTATAACCATAAAATGTCATGAAAGTCACATGGTATGGGTACACTGTTAAATATTTGTTAATTTTTAGCTCACCTGTCACAAAGTGACAGGGTGAGCTTTTGTGATCGCTTTTCGTCCGGCGTCCGTCCGTCCGTAAACTTTTACTTTAAATGACATCTCCTCATAAACCACTCAGCCAATTTCATCCAAACTTCACAGGAATGTTCCTTTGGTGGTCACCTTTAAAAATTGTTCAAAGAATTTAATTCCATGCAGAACTCTGGTTGCCATGGCAACCGAAAGAAAAAACTTTAAATATCTTCTTTTAAAAAACCATAAGAGCTAGAGCTTAAATATTTGGCATGAAACATCTTCTAGTGAGTGTCTACCAAGTTTGTTCAAATAAAAGCCCTGGGGTCAAAATTGGCCCGCCCCAGGGGGTCATTGATTTTCCCTATATGCATATAGTAAAAACTTAAAAAATCTTCTTTTAAAGAACCAAAAGAGTTAGAGCTAAGATATTTAGCATGAAACATCTTCTAATAAGCGTCTACCAAGTTTGTTCAAATAAAAGCCCTGGGGTCAAAATTGGCCCCGCCCCGGGGGGTCATTGATTTTCCCTATATGCATATAGTAAAAACTTAAAAAATCTTCTTTTAAAGAACTCAAAGAGCTATGGCTAAGATATTTAGCATCAAACATGTTCTTATAGGTGTCTACCAAGTTTGTTCAAATAAAAGCCCTGGGGTCAAAATTGGCACCGCCCCGGGGGTCATTGATTTTCCTTATATGTGTATAGCAAAAACTTAAAAAAGCTTCTTTGAAAAAACCCAAATAGCTAGAGTTAAAGTGACATTATGCCCATCCAAGTGAACGGATGATGATCAAAATAAGTTTTCACTTTGCCATCATTCCGTTTAATTTAATAAATAATGCCGCATAAACAATAAATAACGCACAGATCCAAATGAAATTTCTGTAAATATCCATTAGAATTTACCTTTAACGCTTATTTAATAAAAGAGTGGGGCAGTCTTTTTAAATTTAGGCAGATTTATAACTAAACCCTAAACATTTTTCAATATCAACTGTTGGTCAGACACCATTTTGACAGTCAATCTTTTGAAATATAAAGTCAATTCAGCTCAACTTGACTATGAAAATATGAGCATAATGTCACTTTAAGATATTAAGCATGAAACATCTTTTAGTGAGTGTCTACAAAGTTTGTTCAAATAAAAGACCTGGGGTCAAAATTGGCCCCGCCCCGGGGGGTCATTGATTATCTTTATATGTGTATAGCAAAAACTTAAAATCTTCTTTGAAAAAACCCAAATAGCTAGAGTTTAGATATTAAGCATGAAACATCTTCTAGTAAGTGTCTACAAAGTTTGTTCAAATAAAAGCCCTGGGGTCAAAACTGACCCGGCCCCAGGCGTGTCATTGTTTTTAACTATATGTGTATAGTAAAAACTTAAAAAAAAATCTTCTTTTAAAAAGCCCAATGAGCTAGAGCTTAGATGTTTAGCATGAAACATCTTCTTATGGGTGTCTACCAAGTTTGTGCAAATAAAAGCCCTTGGGTTAAATTGGCCCTGCAACGTTGGGGGGGGGGGGGTTGGGGGGGGCCTATATACAGGTGAGCGACCTCAGGGCCATCATGGCCCTCTTGTTTTAGTTCTCAATGGAAAAACCCTTTCCTTAGGGGGAAAATAATTTAGAGTGAAGTCATTCAGAAAACTTTCCTATTGTATTCCGTGGCCCACCTTTAACAGTAGGGGTGTGGACCGTCGGGTAAGTGACGATCCGATCTGATCCACAATTCAGCACATGCGATTCACAAATCGAACCTCGAATCTTTTGGTTATCAAGACACCGATAAAAACATGAACATTAGTTTTGAAAACATGTAAATTTTTCTTAAAACAATACTAAACATTAATTTAATTATTCATTAAACATATTATATGCAATGCAAATATAAACTAGGTTGAAAAAGAGTCGCCCCAATATAAAATTCCACCAGCAAAATTTTCTTTCAATGAAATTGAGGAAAAATCAGTTTGTAAAACATGCCATGGCAAATTGACTTATAGAGGTGGTACAACAAACTTGTCTAATCACATGAAAAGACAAGTATTTCCAAAAATTGGAAGTAAATTTTGCTGGTGGGATTTTTATATTGGCGCGACTCTTTTTCAGCCAATACATGTACTGTAATGTCACACTGAAGTATTAACTTGCGTTTTTCCTAAAAATAAAACAGTCTTCAATACATGTTACGTCATTATAGATCTATACATAGCGACTAAAAATATTTATTTATTTTCATTTAAAAACAAGTGCTCAATAAATATAAAGTGATTCCTTTTTCGAAACTAATGACTTTCTAGCTCAGCATCATGGTGCATATTTGTTAACTTCCTGTCTTTAAAGAGCAAATCGTTGCATAATTTATACGCAAATTGATTTTTTTTACATTTAAAGTGTAAAAAACAGCGAATGTATAATAAACAAATAAAATTGCAATCCACGATCTCTGGACTGACGAATATTCGTACTCGATTTTTCATTTTGATTTGTGATTATCCGAGTACTCGAATACTCGCCCCAGCCCTATTTAACAGTGACTATGTAATGACAGTACTACTCAGAGGGATAACAGCTGTTGATAGTGTATATCCTGGTTAGACAAAGGGTTCATGTGTGTTGGAAATAAAAATGACAAATATCAGCAAAAATGATGTTTTTCTTCTACTATTTTCTGAAGTGCCAAAAATGAACTACATGTTGTACTTTGTACATATTTTTTTCTGATATTCTTAAAAACTTAAAAGCATCAATCTATTTTGTTATGCATACATTATATTCTGTTGTTGTTCTTGGGGGTATTTTCAAGAGGTCAGAATGACAACATATAAGGAGGTGCAATAATTTAGGAAGGCAATTTATCACCTTCCAAAAAATTAAATATTAAACATTGAAGTCTGATGGTAAACTGCCAGTTTGATATATTTCAGGTTCTTGCAGATGCTTTAAACTTTAATGTATTGTCTTAAATTTTAATTGAATGACTTTTAATTGGTATACTAACATTGCTTTTGACTGTCTAGTTTTAATATAACTATTATGTTTACTTGATTGCACCTCCTACATTAATTTTATTTTAATCACAGATTTGCTATGTGTAAGGATTTGATTCATATTATCTCCTTCCAAAATATTTCCTTCACTTTGTGTAGATTTATATTATATCTGATTCATGTTATGGTTAAATCATATTGTAGGCAATAGATCATTTGAGAGGTATTGTACACAGGCTGGAGACAGATAGACACAATTATAAAGAACAAATTAGAGATCTAAGAAGTAAGTGAATTATTATAGCTTGTTCCAGTAAAATAGTTACATACTTTACCATCTCTTGGGCTTACTGTTACTGGGGAAATACATTCACAATCCCAGTATGACTGACCGCAACAATCTGAATCTCAGGGTTAAGTTGAAGATACTTTAACTATTTGGCTTCTGTTATTGTTATTGAGTTATTCTTAAAACTTCTTATTACAGTAGATTTATCTTCTTTTTCTGTGGTACTTAAATGTTTCTAGTACTTTCTGTAATAAAGGTGTACTTACTTCAATAGGCGTATATCCGAAGTAAAAGTTACTAACATAACAGTCAAAACTTGAGTAAGCCTCTTTTGATTGGATGATAAACAGTTGGGTATATACTATATATGAGCCGCGTCATGACAAAACCAACATAATGGGTTTGCGACCAGCATGGATCCAGACCAGCCTGCGCATCCGCGCAGTCTGATCAGGATCCATGCTGTTCACTTACCAATTTTATTACAAGTAGAGAAACTGATAGCGAACAGCATGTATCCTGAACAGACTGTGCGGATGCGCAGGCTGGTCTGGATCCATGCTGGTCGCAAGCGCACTATGTTGGTTTTGTCATGACGCGGCTCATTTTTGTTTTCATTCATGGTTTTATTTCTTTTTCCAGATGAAATATTCCAGCTTACAGAGCGGGCAGGAGACAGACGACCTGACCCTGGTGTTGAAAGACGTATCGAACAATTAAGGAGGGAAATGTTAGGAGAAGTACAGTTACTACAAAGTCAGTTACAAATAAGCTCTGCCAAGGGGAGTAGTTCTCAACTATCAGATGCACAGTTATTGTCCATGAATAGAGATGTAATAGAAATGTAAGTGAAACATTTTAGCTTCGTGGTTTTGTTTATTATATGCTGAAAAAATAGATGCATTTGTGTAAAAAAAAACACATCTAATATTGATATGATATCAATATGACATATATATCATCCATAATATATGTTTATACTGCTGATTGTATTTTTTCTGTGTGATTGTACCTACAAGAAGAAAAATAATTAATTCAGCTATCTAGATATGGTGTTTTTGTGTCCAGTATGAATGTAAATGTTATTTAAATATGTGGGGCATTTTTCGACATTGATTATATAAATGCAAAGTTTGTTCAAGTGTTAAAAAAAATGTTTCCTTATAAGTCTTACACATGGTAGTCAGATCTATGACAAATTAAGAAGTTCAAAGAAATCAGATTTTTTTAATTCAGGAAATTTCTGATAATTTTTTCAACAAATTCACTGTATTCGCCTATATGAACTTTTTCTATGTATTTCTCAATGTCAGATATCTATTAGTAATTAATTACCTTGATACTGTCACTTAATTGAAAAAATAAATGCCCTTTTTCTGTTAATAAAGTTTAATTTTCTATTTAATTTATATTTTATCTATGCAGAATTTATTTAATTCCATCATTTTTTGCTGAAAATTAGTAGCAAATAAAAAGAGTAGACACTGATTTTATATCATATCGAATATATGAATTATATTCTATTGTTGATATACATTGTAGTATAAATGTGTTTCCATGTTGTTTTATAACGATTATTTAAACTTTAACCAGTATGTTTCAAGACGTTTCAATACAATTATATTTGATTAGTGAGTTGAGAAAATATGGCTGAGAATTGCATGCTGGGTAAAGTATTGAGTAGAATGTAGACCATTGATTCCTTTTAATTGATTCCTTAGTACCTTGTTATAGCTCCAACACAGGTGGACATTTCTGGGATAACCGATTTAACTGTTTCCACATAACATAAGGATTTAATTTTTATCAACATTTTAGGTGTTGGAAAAGTTTATTTTGGTGAAGATTTTTACATCTTAGAAAGCTTTTCAAAGCACATGAATACTAAATTTCTTAAAGGCCAATAACAGTAATTTTATGTATATGTTAAGACTCAAGTTCCCATGATGTATAAGTGACTAAACATGTTGAATTGTTAGAGTAATGAAAAGTAAGACCAAATTAAAATGGCTGCTTACATGTTACATTAGTAGTACTTACTTACATGTTACATTAGTAATTCATGTACTTAATTTTGTGATGCTGGATTATATGCCATAAGGGAGCGGGACAATTTTCTTATATTTGACCTTTAGAGAGGTTAAAATTCTATTCTATAAAGTTAGTTTTCCCTGTCATAAACATAAATATATAGCCAGAGTCAAATTTATTTTCAACCATTTCAATGTTCTTTATAAAATTTATTCGCATAATTTTGTTGTTAACGGCATTTATCAATTTGACATGACATGGAAAAAGTCAAATGCACTAAATTGTCCAGTACAGGATAACTACATGTATATGGGATGCTTCAGTGTCCAATATGTACATATATTAGATGGTCATATGGTACAATTTAAAAGCAGCAAAATTGATATAGGATGTCCAATACTTAAATTGAAGACTATCATCAGATTAGTTGGAATTTTTCAAGATATTATTAATATTTGTTCCTTAACCAAAATATTCATTTTGATTTGTAGATTTCTTGTTTGTAGATTTATTTTAACAAGAAATATTTTAGGATATTTTGATGTAATTTCCACCTTTCCAGAAATAGAATATGCACATTTATTTTTATGTGTGTGAAAATTAATGCTTGTTAAAGTATTTTGGAGATATGTTACATTCTCATCATAATTTCTTTTTTTTTACCAGTGGAATGGTGACTTTAATGCCATTCATAATTATTTCAAATAATTAATAATTGAAATCATGATTCTATTTGAAAATTTCATAAATCTAGTATTTGAGTTGATAATAGAGGGTATTTATATTTCATTTTATTTTCTCCCACACTTTTCCAGTACAGAATTTTGAGGAATAAAAATTTTGTGCATTTGATATAGAATATACATGTATAATAGCAGTCTTGAATGAAAACTAAAACTAAAATAAAATCTTTTGTTTTATAAAATTCAATGGATCTTGTGTAATTTAAAGTGTGCTAGTTTTAGTAGTAATTAAGTTTTTTTCTTAGCTGGAATGAAGAAAATGTTATATTTATTAATATCCTAAAGGAATTTCATCATAATACAAGACTTATGATGTTGTTGTTGTTACAGAAAGCATGCATTCAGAGATGAGCTTGAAGGTTTCCGTAGAGATATTGAAGTCATGCGCTCCAGGATAGGTATGTATACTAATGTAATACTGTATTTTTATTGGACAATCATAATATTTATGTTATCCTATATACAAATGGCTGCTGCAAAGTTTTGAATTATATTTTTATTGAAATAAAACAATTATTCAGTGGTCTATATTGGTTATTAAGACACTTAACAGATTATATGGCCATATGTAAATGGTTGTGTACCATGTTTTGAAATATGAGTGAGTCTAAAAAAAGGATTGGAGCACCACACTAAATACCGTATTCCAGTACATTACCGGAAAAGACGCTTGAATGATTAAATGCTAAAATCTCACCTTTTCACCTCAAAACGTCGGATTCATCTTTTCACACCATTTTATATACAATAAGGAATGAAAAATGTGATAATCGGCGAAAAAACATATACTGTATGTCTATTTTGTGATCATGATTTCTGCAAGCGTCTAGAGGTACTCCAATCCTGTATCGAGTTAAATCCTTTAAATATATGTTATGCATGAAAAATTAAAACAAGCATTGTTTTGACATTATTGAATTAAGTGAATAATTCAGTATTTTCTTTATTAGTCCCCTACCGGTTTAACCAGAGGGGACTTTAGGTTTACCCTCCGTCCGTCTGTCTGTCAGTCCGTCCACAAAACTGGATCCCGCGATAACACAAAAAGTACTGAAAATATTTTTATCAAACTTGATATATGGATAGATGGCAGAATGGAGATTATAATCGTCTTTTTTTTCTTTCCTATGTTGAAAATTCTGGTTGCTATGGCAACAAATAGTCTGAAAATATGGCAAATTTAACACATAAACTGGATCCAGTGATAACTCAAAAAGTACTGAAAATATTTTTATGAAACTTGTAATATGGGTAGATGGCAGTCTGGAGATTATGCACATCTTTTTTTTTTTCTTCCTATGTTGAAAATTCTGGTTGCTATGGCAACAAATAGCCTGAATTTCATGATTTCTGATTTAAATTTTTCAGCTTTTTCACTATAAGTTCTGTATTTCTTAAGGTGTTTACATCAAACTTTAAATACAAGTTTCTGGTCATCAACCACATCATATGTGACAAGGTATACAACTCTAGCACAAAAATGATCAGTATTATCTCCCTTGAACTTAGAATTTTTATGAAAAAAAATGTTGTCTTTTTAGCTCACCTGTCACAAAGTGACAGGGTGAGCTTTTGTGATCGCTTTTCATCCGGCGTCCGTCCGGCGTCCGTAAACTTTTACTTTAAATGACATCTCCTCATAAACCACTAAGCCAATTTCATCCAAACTTCACAGGAATGTTCCTTTGGTGGTCACCTTTGAAAATTGTTCAAAGAATTTAATTCCATGCAGAACTCTGGTTGCCATGGCAACCAAAAGAAAAAACTTTAAATATCTTCTTTTAAAAAATCCAAAGAGCTAGAGCTTAGATATTTGGCATGAAACATCGTCTAGTGAGTGTCTACCAAGTTTGTTCAAATAAAAGCCCTGGGGTCAAAATTGGCCCTGCCCCAGGGGGTTATTGATTTTCCCTATATGCATATAGTAAAAACTTAAAAAATCTTCTTTTAAAGAACCCAAAGAGCTAGAGCTAAGAAATTTAGCATGAAACATCTTCTAATGGGTGTCTACCAAGTTTGTTCAAATGATAGCCCTGGGGTCAAAATTGGCCCTGCCCCAGGGGGTTATTGATTTTCCCTATATGCATATAGTAAAAACTTAAAAAAATCTTCTTTTAAATAAAGAACCCAAAGAGCTAGAGCTAAGATATTTAGCATGAAACATGTTCTATTGGATGTCTACCAAGTTTGTTCAAATAAGAGCCCTGGGATCAAAATTGGCCCTGCCCCGGGGGTCATTGATTTTCCTTATATGTGTATAGCAAAAACTTAAAAAATCTTCTTTGAAAAAAACCAAATAGCTAGAGTTTAGATACTAAGCATGAAACATCTTCTAGTGAGTGTCTACCAAGTTTGTTCAAATAAAAGCCCTGGGGTCAAAATTGGCCCGCCCCGGGGGTCATTCATTTTCCTTATATGTGTATAACAAAAACTTAAAAAATCTTCTTTGAAAAAACTCAAATAGCTAGAGGTTAGATATTAAGCACGAAGCATCTTCTAGTGAGTGTCTACAAAGTTTGTTCAAATAAAAGCCCTGGGATCAAAATTGGCCATGCCCCAGGGGACATTGATTTTCCTTATATGTGTATAGCAAAAACTTAAAAATCTTCTTTGAAAAAACCCAAATAGCTAGAGTTTAGATATTAAGCATGAAACATCTTCTAGTAAGTGTCTACAAAGTTTGTTCAAATAAAAGCCCTGGGGTCAAAATTGGCTTCACCCCGGGGGTCATTGATTTTCCTTATATGTGTATCAAAAACTTAAAAATCTTCTTCGAAAAATCCGAATAGCTAGAGTTCAGATATTAAGCATGAAACATTTTCTAGTAAGTGTCTACAAAGATTGTTCAAATAAAAGCCCTTGGGTCCAAACTGGTCCTGCCCCAGGTGTGTCATTGTTTTTAACTATATGTGTAAAGAAAAACCTTGACCAGCTAGACCTTAGATGTTTAGCATGAAACATCTTCTAATGGATGTCTACCAAGTTTGTTCAAATAAAAGCCCTGGGGTTTAAACTGGCCCTGCTACGGGGGCCTTTATACAGGTGAGCGACTTCAGGGCCATCATGGCCCTCTTGTTTAAATAACTTCTTTATTTCCTAATGTATCTTCTTCAAACTTCATATATATGTTTATTATTATCACTCAACATTTTTGAGAAGGTTAAATACTCTAGCAAGACTATTTCCAGAATTATGTCCCCCTTGAACTTAGATTTTTTTTCGAGAAATTGGTATTTTTCACTCCAACTTCTTCATTCCTTATAGGATTTACTTTAAAATCCCACATAGTAATAATATGACAAGGTTGTATAAACATAATTTCCTTACTAGGCAGGGAAACTTAACACATAACTGTGATATAGACAAACTTAGAACTCAAAAGACTTAAGTTCATTCATGTCATTCATTCACTGGTAAAATTGAATGACCAATGGCCCATCAGATGTTGCTGGGGTTCTAACCGGTAGGGGACTTATGGATTGCTTGCAATACTATAATAATTGCTTGTTTAAATTTGAATCAAAGTAAAAGGGTTTAATATTTTAATGTTGGTAAAAAGGTGATATAATGAACAGAAATGCAGAATGTTTTCAAATTTTTAATTGGTAAAAGAATGAATGTAGTGTCTTTTCAATTCCTTTATTATATTAAAACCAAAGATATTTGTTAAACTGAAAGAACAAGTTATGTTGAAATTTATGTGTATAGTTTATTTAAGTGTTATATATTTTACAGCAAAAATTGAGCTAGAACTTGCCAGTGTTTTATCAGGGAGACGGGAGACAGATCGTCGTCAGGATGGTTTTGACAGGGTATGATATATATATGTGCCGCATCATGACAAAACCAACATAGTGCGTTTGCGACCAGCATGGATCCAGACCAGCCTGCGCATCCGCGCAGTCTGATCAGCATCCATGCTGTTCGCTTACCAACTCTATTACAAGTACTGGTTGGGGAGATACCTTGACACTAAATCACATATTTTTTGCAATATCTTAATTATCTTCCTGTATATTTTAAATGTTGAACCACCTTAACAAAGTTCAGTTCAAAGACTTACAAGAATTACATATGAAAATTGAAACTGGTACTTCTTTAAGGTCTTACATGAGGTATACAAGACATGGTCTTCTTACCCCACAACAGTAGATAAAGTCGACACTTAAATTTTATGTAAAAAATTGACTGGAAAATCAGCATCAATATGTATTTTTACATCTTACATGTTTTATCTATTTTTTGGTTGATATAAAAAATTTTTTTCAAAAATCTTTTCCAAGTCGGTGGCCTGTGGTCAATACATTTCTAACTACCTTATTGTAATTTAGTAAAAAGAACTTTTTGAAGCGGTTTTTGCCAACAAAAAGTTTAGGTTATTTGAAAATTATTAAAAAGATTAACAACTTTCAAAAAATCATCACATTCTGTCCTGCTCCTATACTACTAGGTGACTATATGCTTGTTTGTTGAAATAGAAAGTTATAACAAAAATATTTATCAAGTGTCGGAGTTATCTATGTGTCGGAGTTATCTCTTTGACCAGTAGAGAAACTGATAAAGAAACGCACTATGTTGGTTTTGTCATGACGCGGCTCATATATTGTCATCTTAGTATCAGAATAAGTCCTAAATTTAGTAGGAGTTAATCAGTTATTGCACTAAGGTGACGTAATGTTTCTAGTTTTCATGTACAAGATGTATACATTGTTTAATGACTTAAATGATATATAAAACTGAATAAAGTTTACATTATCTATTAAGAGTTTCACTATAAAAAGCATATGACAAAAATGCTTAAAAATGAGATTTGTTACATATAGAAAATATCAATAATATGATGTGTTGTTGTTGTTTTTTTTTTGCTATATTTTCAATCATAAAAACATGATTCATTTAAAATTGCAAAAATTAAGATAAAATATTACTAAGACTGTACAAAAACTCTGTGAATGTGAGAGAAAACCTGATGCATGTATGTTATAAAGATAACTTTGGTTGGAATTTTTTAAAATATTTTTTCTTACATATTGGTTCTCATTTGTAATTATCTTTAACTGTGCATTAATTGTGGAATTTATTTCTTTAAAGACGCTGAATTCATTGTCACTTGCTCAGAAAAAGTCTCAGTTACCATCATCTACTGTATCAATGATAAACACAAACAGGCAGCTGGAGAAAATGCAGATAAATGAACTCAGGTGATAAAATCTTAATTTTTCTTATTTGGTATTGACTTATAAATTTAAGTTTGATTAAAATCAAAGCTTGAAACTAATTGGAACCATTTTCAAGATTGCTTTCCAAAACTAACAAAAATGGTTGTGACCTCAGTATATCTTGGACCCACGTTTCTTTGAGTATGATGCAGACTTCTTAACCATTTAGCCACCTTCTAAGATTGTGATTCAGATCTTATGATTTCTTGTTTATTTTCCATCGAAGTTCTGATTGTTTGTCTGTCTCTGTTTTCTTTTGAGAGCTTGTCATAGGTTTTTTATTTGTCTTCAGAATAAACAGCAATGTTTTAGTTTAAAGTTTGATTGGCACAAACAGGATTGTTCATGTTATTTTATCACTTAACTGTCTGAAAACTGGATTATTTCTTACTGTATGATATAATGTATGATGTATATACTGTATATTGTTTATATTTCAGGTGTACTTTAAGTGCATTGAAGGACAAGATTGATATTATAGAACAATCATCTACCCCTGTGTCAAGTCCAGTCAAAACTTCACCCATATCCAAGTCAGCATTATATACCAATGGTAAGTGTTATGTGTTTCTTATTTAAGGTTTCACGACCAAGTGAATAAAATCATCTGACTGAAAAAACTTTTATTATTTTTAGTTATATTATTTGTTGTATTATTTGGAAGCTAGCCAGCTTGCTATGAGAAGACCGATGGCTGCATGCAGGTGTCAGCTCATGCCGTCGTTAAAGGCTCTAGTGGTCTGTAGTGTCATAAGATGTAACCGATTATATCAAGCATGTAATTATTATTTTTAGCTTGACTATTTGATAAAAATAAGTAGAGCTATACTGGTCACCTGAGCGTCGGTGTTTGCGTAACCACTTATGTTCAAGTTTTTGTAATGCTTCCAATATTTGTCCATTGACATATGGCTTTGAAACTTTGCACACTTGTTCACCATCATGACCCCAACCTGTTGACAGGAGGAGGTAACTGTATCAAACATTTTGACAGAATTATGCCCCTTTTTAGCTCACCTGAGCATGCTCAGGGTGAGCTTTTAGGATCGATGATTGTCCGTCGTCCGTCCGTCCGTCGTCCGTTCACATTTTGTTGTTAACACTCTAGCGGTCGCATTTTTGCCTCAATCATCATCCAACTTGGTCAGGATGCTTATCTAGTTGATAGCTAGGATGAGTTCGAACATGGGTCATCTCGGATGAAAAACTAGGTCACAAGAGCTAAAAATAGAAAAACCTTGTTAACACTCTAGAGGTCACCATTTTGCCTCAATCATCATCAAACTTGGTCAGGATGTTTGTCTAGTTGATAGCTTGGATGAGTTCGAACATGGGTCATCTCGGATGAAAAAGTAGGTCACCGGAACTAAAAATAGAAAAACCTTGTTAACACTCTAGCGGTCACATTTTGGCATCAATCATCATCAAACTTTGTCAGGAAGCTTGTCTAGGTGATAGCTCGGATGAGTTTGAACATGGGTCATCTCGGATGAAAAACTAGGTCACTGGAGCTAAAAATAGAAAAACCTTGTTAACACTCTAGCGGTCACATTTTTGCATCAATCATCATCAAACTTGGTCAAGATGCTTGTCTAGGTGATAGCTTGGATGAGTTCGAACATGGGTAATCCTGGATGAAAAAATAGGTCACCTGAGCTAAAAATAGAAAAACAAAACCTTGTTGACACTCTAGAGGTCACATTTTTGCCTCAATCAACATCAAACTTGGTCAGGATGCTTGTCTAGGTGATAGCTCAAATGAGTTCGAACATGGGTCATCGCGGATGAAAAAGTAGGTCACCGGAGCTAAAAATAGAAAAACTTTGTTAACACACTAGCGGTCACATTTTTGCCTCAATCATCATCAAACTTGGTCAGGATGCTTGTCTAGGTGATAGCTTGCATGAGTTCGAACATGGGTCATCTCAGATGAAAAACTAGGTCACCGGAGCTAAAAATAGAAAAACCTTGTTAACACTCCAGCGGTCACATTTTTGCCTCAATCATCATCAAACTTGGTCAGGATGCTTATCTAGTTGATAGCTCGGATGAGTTCGAACATGGGTCATCTCGGATGAAAAAGTAGGTCACCGGAGCTAAAAATAGAAAAACCTTGTTAACACTCTAGCGGTCACAATTTTGCCTCAATCATCATCAAACTTGGTCAGGATGTTTGTCTAGTTGATAGCTTGGATGAGTTCGAACATTGGTCATCTCGGATGAAAAACTAGGTCACAGGAGCTAAAAATAGAAAAATCTTGTTAACACTCTAGTGGCTACTGTTTTGATCCAAATATCCTGTAAATTGGTCTGAAAGTTTGTTTTGATGATTTCTAAGTCAAGTTCGAACATGGGTCATCTTGGATGAAAAACTAGGTCACACCACCCAATATGGAAAAACCTTGTTAACATTCTAGTGGTCACATTTTCGACTCAATTATCATCAAACTTGGTCAGGATGCTTGTCTAGGTAATTGCTGGGATGAGTTCGAAATCGCATGTGAAACTAGGTCACCGGAGCTAAAAATAGAAAAATCTTGTTAACACTCTAGTTGCTACCGTTTTGATCCAAGTATCCTGGAAATTGGTCTGAAAGTTTGTTTTGATGATTTCTAGGTCAAGTTTGAATATGGGTCACCTGGGTAAAAAACTAGGTCACACTGCTCAAATATGGATAATACTTGTTAACACTGTAGTGGTCACATTTTTGACTCACCTGTCATGAGACTTGGTCAGAATGCTTGTCTAGGTAATTGTTTGGATGAGTTTGATGGGTCAGGTGAGCGATCTAGGGCCATCATGGCCCTCTTGTTCATCTTAGAATTTACATTAAAGTTTTTGTAACAACTCAAATATTTTCTAAGTCCATTGACATATGCCTTTGAAACTTTGCACACTTGTTCACCATCATTTCATCAACCTGTTGACAGGAGGAGATAAGTCTATCAAGCATTTTGACAGAATTATGCCCCTTTTCTGACTTAGAATTTATGTGAAAGTTTTTGTAACACCTCAAATATTTACAAAGTCCATTGACATATGGCTTTGAAACTTTGCACACTTGTTCATCATGCCCCCAATCTGTAGACAAGAGGAGGTAACTCTATCAAGCATTTTAAAAGAGTATTGCCCTTGTTTTTTGACTTAGAATTGACGTTTAAGTTTGTATACCACCTCAGATATTTTCATCTGGCTTTGAAACAAACTGAAATTTTATACACTTCTTTGAGAGCAAAATAGGACTCTCTCCAAGGCTTATAACTGTAACATTGATTTAAAGAAAAATTTGGCCCCTTTGTTAACTAAAAAAAATTGTATTATCAAGGCTCTTTTTGTGTCGCCTCTACGGAGTAGTGGCGACATATAGGGATCACTTCTCCGTCGTCTGTCTGTCCGTCTGTCTGTCTGTCCGTCCGTCCGTCACAAAACTTGTCCGGACTACTCCTCATAAACTGCTGGTGCAATTTCATCCAAACTCTACAGGAATGATCAGTACCAAGTCTAGTTGTGCATATTGTCAGCATTTTCCGGTTCAATGATTTTTGTCAGAGTTATGGCCCTTTAATAATTTTTAATTTTAAAGTTTGTCCGGACTACTTCTCTTATACCACTAATGCAATTTCAATGAAACTTTACAGGATTGATCTGTAGCTCAAGTCCTTGCGCATATTGCACGGGTTTTCCGGTTGAATGATTTTTGGCCGAGTTATGGCCCTTTGATAAAAAGGTTTTTTTTTCTGTGTGTTGCCAGATACACAAAAAGCTTGTCTGGACTACTCCTCATAAACTACTGGTGCAATTTCATCCAAACTTTACAGGAATGATCAGTACCAAGTTTAGTTGTGCATATTGTCAGCATTTTCCGGTTCAATGATTTTTGTCAGAGTTATGGCCCTTTAATAATTTTTATTTTTAAAGTTTGTCCGGACTACTTCTCTTATACCACTCATGCAATTTCAATGAAACTTTACAGGATTGATCTGTAGCTCAAGTCCTTGCGCATATTGCACGGGTTTTCCGGTTGAATGATTTTTGGCCGAGTTATGGCCCTTTGATAAAAAGGTGGTTTTTTTCTGTGTGTTGCCAGATACGCAAAAGCTTGTCCGGACTACTCCTCATAAACTACTGGTGCAATTTCATCCAAACTTTACAGGAATGATCAGTACCAAGTCTAGTTGTGCACTGTCCGTCTGTCTGTCCGTCTGTCACAAAATTTGTCCCAACATGAAATTGGCCATTATGAGGCGACACATGTGATAACTGATCGCTCTTGTATTATCAAGCACTAAGAATAGTTGAGCGTGCTGTCCTACCGACAACTCTTGATATGGAATTGAAAATACTACATTTAATATTGTCAAGAAACAAACATGTTGACCTCGTGGAATATTTTAGATCTGTCTATAAAATTTTATGACATTGTGCCTAGATGAAAATGTAAATTTTATTTTTTAAGGATTACCTCCTATGATGAAGCCCTATGAGAATGGAGTGTTAGATGATATAGATCTATCTGATGATGCAAGTTCCGAGAGTTCAGATTTTACCGAGTTTGAGCCTGGTACAGCTAAAGATAAGAAGTTTACAAGACAACATAAAATTGATGATCTAGATTCTGGTAATTATTTTTTTCACAGTTTGATTTTATAAAATTTACACATAGTAAAATGATGATGATTTATCAGTGTTGGTTTTTGGCCAATATTGCATGTATACATCTTGGATCCCTCTGATCCGAACACCGTTCAGACAAAGATGTCTGGTTTCAACAAGTTTCTGGACTAGAGGGGTTTTCATATGAGACAAAGTACTCTTTTCAATATTTATAATAATTAAGGCAATTGGGACTGTATTTAAGCAGGTGTTTGCTTCAAACAGCTGGAAATAAATCTACTGAAATACTTTCAAAAATTTCATCTGAACAAATGTCCAGACGCCTTTTTTTTGGTCAAACTTTAGACTTGATTGAAGGTGTTACATGTATTTATTTTGTTAAAAGATATTTGAGCTAGGGAAACTCTCTGGAATTAAAGATTTCCACATTAGAGGGCAATCTACTTAAAGAAGAAATAGGACTGAACTACCTTGGTAGATTAGAGGTAGACAGGTTTAGAGGTGTTTTTAAGGGATTATTCAATATTTATCCTGGTATTTAATCATCATGCTGATCTTTGAGAATGTAGGAAAAAACCCCACATGTCAAAACCCCACACCTCAAAATTTTATAGAGTGTACAAAAAACCCCACACCTTCAAATAGTTAGACGGTGTGGGGTTTTGTCCACTCTATAAAATTAAGGTGGGGGTTTTGTCCACTCTATTGAATTTTGAGGTGTGGGGTTTTGTCCGTCTTCCGATCTCTGAAGGTCAAGTCCTGATAGGGATATAAAAGTTGGAGGTAATTATGCTGCTAGTTTGTTGAAAGTTTTGTAGTTTTACCAAGGTGTCCATTTAAAGTAAGATAGTTGATTCGCTAATTTATCTGATCATGTCACTTTAAATAAATACAAAACAAGAAAAATAAATTAAGAATTTAAATCTATCTCATTGTGCGCTTGTGTGATATGCAAATTTATTCCATCCTTGGACTTAATATTAGTACTCTCTACTTATGATTTTTTGGCCTTTTCCTACTTGTTGTTAGAATGTGATATTATCAGAGATTATACAGTTACTGAATATGCTGAAGTAGACTATAAATACCATGAACATATACATTTATGTTCGTTGAGGTTTTATTTCCACTTTGAAATGATAGAAACATATAGCTTGACAATAACATATTAGCATTTTTACTATATGTTTGTTTTTTTTCCAGATGACCTTGATATGGATGACCTTGACCTTAGTGATGATGACCTTTCTGAGACATCCTTGAATGATCAGGTTCCAAATGATCTCACATGACAAAGATATTAAATCTTTTTTTTTTTTTTAATCAGATTTTTTTTAAATCAAGATTTTTTTAACCCCTTAGTCATTAGAAGTGCGATTGTTTATTTATTTATTTTTTATTTTATTTAGTAAAAAATCAATATACATTGAAATGATGACTTATTAAAATATTATATTTGGCTAAGTTGTAGGATAAGTTTTAATTTTTCAACGTTTTGTAATTTTCGAACAGATGTTATTGGTTGTATAAAAATCAAACGTTTCCAATTAGTATGTTAATTTATGAAGGGGATTTGTTTTTATATGAGTGACTAGGAGACTTTTAATAGTTTTTAAACTAACTGTTTTAACAGATTAATTTACTTACTTTATCATTTAATAAGCAATTAACAAATACCATGCTGTTGTTTATAATCCAGTATAACACAATATAGAGGTTAGATGCTTATTCATTTGCATAAATGGAGGACATTTAAAGCATGTGAATAAGAACTCTTTTTTTATAAATGTTAACATGTAATTAATTTTAAGTCAATTCAAATATCACAGATAGAAGTATTTTTAATTACATTCAGCTGAATTTTTTTAAATCCTATGTCAAATTGTCAATTAGAAATAACGGTCATAAATTTTTTATATTATATTCATTTTGGAGAGAAATTCTTTTGAAATCATAATTTAGAAATTTTATTGTGAAGAATTTGATTTGCTTCTATAGTTTCATCAGGATATACTATACAAATTTATTCTGTATAGTCAGAAAGTATTTAGATATTTACTTCATACTTCCATTTTTTTCTCATAACAAATAAAAAAATCATTTGTTTTTTCATTACTTAACTTTAGATATCAATATCCAAGAAATATTTAAATTTTAACAAAAGATTTTGCCCAATCTTGCTTAGTATATCAGAAACTGTTTAACTATGACTGTATATCATCAGCATCTTCACATTAAAATATATTTTTTATACAAGTGCACACTTTTTGGTTCATAAAGTTAGTATATTCCAGATGTACGAGTTGATCAAGACAAGGCTTACATTAGGTCTTTTGTCTATGTGTATGACTGATTTAAATTGACATTTGTTTAACATGATGGTAGTCTAGGCTAGAAGTAGATTAACTTATCAAGCAACTGTGATATTATATTTATAAGAATATTTATATTTACAGATATAACATGTTTGTCTAATCAGTTAGAATAATTTTATGTTAAAAGGGTACCATATATGTCAGTTCCATCATTAAAGGCTGAATGCTTCTAAATTCATGCTCAGTTTAATGATAATTTAAAAAGTGTAATTAAAAAAACACAAGAAACAAATAAAGTGAGTTTTGCTAGTCTTAAGCATTCACTATTCTTTAAGACTATGTGTAATGCATAGAAATGAATGAAATATATGTATTACTCAATTAGTAGTGGGATAGAAATTAAGTCAAAAAGTAAATACTGTCACATTTTATATTCAAAGCACAAACAAGTTTTGGAAATATTTATACATTTCTTAAACACTAAAAAATTAATTTGAAGTTTTATAGAAAATTTGTTTACTTATTTGGAGGTGTGTGGCTTTAAAGCCTCAAATTTAGTCTTTAAAGTTTTACGTTGCTCTTTATCAAATGTGCAGAGTTTTTGATGAAACTTTTCGGTAGTCTAGCAATTTGATGAAACTTTTCAGAAATTGAAAGTTTGGATGATATTTTATCTAAATCAAACTAAAAAATAAAAAATGTGCTAAGAAATATATTAAGCATTTTAAAGTCAGTATTCCATACTTAAATGTACTATATACACAAGGTTTTATGTTCTAATGAATAAATTCTTAATTTGTTGTACATGTCAATATAGACAGTCTGAAGGTAAATTTAAATTTTCCATACAAAAAAAACTAGAGCCTAATTTTTCAAGTATTAAATACAAATCTATGCTCCATTACTGTTTTACAAGTTCAAGAATAGAACACCATTCCTGTATTTTTTTTATTTTGAATGAAATGATAATGTAATCATAAAGGGTACAGTGAACTAGATTGTATGTATTGTCCATGTATAAGGTATTGTTGTTGTTTTTTTAAAGATATATATAAACAGTTCATTATAAATGTGTATTCAATATAAAGACGACTATATTTGAAGTGTGTGAACAAAGACTTTGTTAGGTGGCTGAGTAAATAATTTGAATACTGTTGAAATGTTGTCATATATGTTAAATGTAACCTCAGTATTAATGATGTTTATAAGTATATAATACAAAAATAAACTGTAAACATCAGATATTGTTTTCCTTGTTTCTAAGTCTTCTGCTTTTTGTAAGTTGTGTGTTTTAAGCCATGACCATAGAGAGAGCATGAAATGTTTTATCCAGGGGTCAATGGTACGATCCTTGGACGAGGAAGAATTTCTCTGTGACAACTGATCTAGGATATTGTGTTTAATGGTCACATGTCTGTCACTGGTGATTCAGAAATTATGTGAGATTAGTAGTAGTATGCCACTTGTGGAGGAATTACTTGTAAGTTATCTATAATGTGCTGTAAAACAGGATTGATGGCTCCACATTTTACAAGATACATGTACATTTGTATTTATGGGTACACTGTACATAGATCATAAAGCATATGAAACCTATGTCAGCATGTTAAACTAGATATGTTTTGTGTCTGTACATAATACAGATCTAAACAAGATGTTACATATAACAAACTAGCACCTGTCTCTAATATGTCGATAACAAAATAAACATCACTTTTCCTAGAAATTTTAACCTAAAAGGTTATTTTAAGGGGTCATGGTCATATTCAGGTACACTATGTACAATAAAGCTGTTGGCCATGGGTATTTTATGTTGTTATGTATGCAACATATTACATGTATATAATTTATATCTGACCAGTTGGTATTTCCAATATTATCATTGTTCTATTTTTAGAACATAAACTGCATGTATGTACTAGAAGGTTCTTTACTGTTGTAGAAAACTCATGCATTATATTTAGATAGAAACTTCTGGAATGATCTTTATTGTTGAAGTTGCTAGATTATGATTACTTGAGAACATAATAGACCTTTCTGGAAACTTCTTAGTTAATATATATAAGGAGACATTTTTCATTAATCTTATCTTTAAGTCATCAGTTACCTTTTTAGTC